AAATCTAGCATGCATAAGTTTATCTAGTGATTTCATTTCCAAATGCTTCCAAGTGGTATCGAGCTAACCATGATGCTAAGGATGGTATAATGGTGCACTCCGATTGGTATCACGCTTCAAAGGTCCATCTTTTATACCTTAGCATCATTTGGTAGACATTGTCTCCTATATTTCCTATCTAAGCATATGTGCAAGCTACAATCCAAACTCTTAGCATAAATGTAGGGGGAGCAATTGCTACCATTTGGGGCTCATGAAACTTGTCCATATCCTTTTACACATGGTAAATATGCTTGGGTAAGCAACATGGATTCAATTGAATTTCAATTCATATCTTTGTGAAAGAGTTGTCATATATTACCAAAAAAGGGAGATTAAAAGCTCTAGTTTGGTTTTGGTGATTTGATAAAACCCTAAGTGCAAACCTAGTTTATCAAGTGATCATGAGATAGGTAGCACGTTCCAAGTGATGAAGCAAATGAAAATCATGACATGAAGATGGTGATGTCATGGTGATGATCAAGTGCTTGGACTTGAAAAGAAGAAAGAGAAAAACAAAAGGCTCAAGGCAAAGGTATAAATGGTAGGAGCCATTTTGTTTTGGTGATCGAGACACTTAGCGAGTATGATCACATTTAGGATCGATAGCCGTACTATTAAGAGGGGTGAAACTTGTATTGAAATACGGTTATCAAAGTGCCACTAGATGCTCTAACTCATTGTATATACATTTAGGATCTAGTGGAGTGCTAACACCCTTGAAAATGTTTATGAAAATATGCTAACACATGTGCACAAGGTGATACACTTGGTGGTCGACACATTTAAGCAAGGGTGAAGGATATAGAGTTGAAAAGGAGTTGGTCACGTAGTGACCGGACGCTGGCCTTGGTTGGACCGGCGCGTTCAGTCAGTAGAAGCTGCAAAGACACGCAGCGTCGGTCTCTGACCGAACGCTGGGTCATTAAGTGACCGAACGTTGATAGGCTACGTCCGGTCCTGCTGACGTGGCAGCATACAGGGGAGTCTTCGTGTGACCGGATGCTGGGTGTGTCCGGTCGAGCATGACCGGACGCGTCCGGTAGTAAAAAGTCGTCTCTAGATGCTTACTGGAAACGACCGGACGCTGGGGTTCAGCGTTCGGTCACTTTGAGCTGTTGCGTTCGGTCATCACTTGACCGTTGAGATTGGGCGATCAACATTTGAAGAGAGGGGACACGTGGCACGCATCGCATGATCGGACGCTAAGATCCAGCGTCCGGTCGATATGACCGGAGCGTCCGATCACCCCGTGTTGTGCCCAGTAAAGGGGTACAATGGCTCTATTTTGTGGGGGCTTCTATTTAAGCCCCATGGCTGACTCAAGCTCACTATCTTGGCCATTTGTATTGATATAGCAACCTTGTGAGCTTAGCCAAAGCCCTTCCACTCATCTCCATCATTGATTCATCATCTTTGTGAGATTGGGAGAGAATCCAAGTGCATTGCTTGAGTGTTTGCATCTAGAGGCACTTGGTGTTCGTGTTTTGCTACGGGATTCGCTTGTTACCCTTGGTGGTTGCTGCCACCTAGATGGCTTGGAGCAGCGAGGATCGTTGAGTTGAGGTTGGTGATTATCTTCGGCTCTGATCGTGGTGATTGTGAGGGGTTCTTGACGTTTCCCCGGTGGAGAGCCAAAAGGCACTCTAGTGGATTGCTCGTGGCTTGTGTGATCCTTATCTTGTGTTGGTTGTGCGACACCATATTGAGGATTTGGCTTGTGATGCCAATTAACGCGTGAACCTCCAAGTGAGTTAATCGCCACAACAAGGACTAGCTTGCCGACAAGTAAGTGAACCTTGGTAAAAAATCATTGTGTCATCATTTGATTTCGAGGTGATTGGTCTTCATTGTTATTTATTCTTGTGATTGGTTGGCTCCTTCCTCGACACGACGGTATAACCTTCTTGCTCACTCTCATTACATTACCGTAAACTAGTTGTCAAGCTCTTTAGTGTAGCTAGTTGTGAGAGCTTGTTAGTTTGAATGGTGTGGCTCTTTAGTTAGCTTTTGAGAGCACACTAACTTAGTGTAGTGTCATAGCTATTGTGTGGATAGAAACTATATAAACTAGAATTGTGGTAGGTGGCTTACTTTTTAGTAGGATAGTGCAACACTTGCTTCGCCTTATAATTGTCTAACCGATTTGTTAAGTGTTGTTGTAGAATTTTTTAATAGGCTATTCACCCCCCTCTAACCATTAGGACCTTTCACCAGGAAGCCGCACGCCCTGGCCGCCACGAGCCCAGGCCACCACGTGCCCTGGCCACCGCAAGCCCAGGCAGCTGCGCGCCCTTGCCTCCGCCCGCCCAGCCGCCTACTGAGCCTACGCGCCTCGGCCGCTGCCCCACAGTACCTAGGGTTAGGGTTCGTTTTTGTTTTAGAAGAAGAGAGCGGGCTCGGAGGGACATAGAAGAGACCGAGAGGTCTGAGATACAAGAGAAAGGAGAGACACGGCTTCAGTTAGGGGTATTTCTGTCTATTCAATAAAAACTGACAACTCAGTGATGACAAAACTTTGGGGGATCTCACGGTAAGACCAGATTGAAAAACAAAATTTCGAGTGAGGCCAAATAGGTAAGAAATTTTGTTTCAGGGCCAAGAAAGAAAGACAACTTTAAACTATGGCCAAATAAGAAATTTTCTCTAATAACTTACTCCGACCATTGATGAAAGGATCAACAAGGCTTAAGGCTTAGAGGGAGGAGCTGAGGGGATGACTAGGCTTAAAACATTATTTTTTTCAAACTTCAAAAAAGGCCTGGTGCAAGCGGTAGAGTCTTACCGCCTGTGATCGGAAGGTTTTGAGTTGGAGTCACGGTCTCCCCGCATTGTACATGCGAGAATAAGGCTTGCCACTAACATCCTTCCCCAGGCCCCACATAGAGCGGGAGCTCTCTGGGTACGCCATTTTTTCAAAAAAAAAGTAGCACTACTGAAATCCTCCTATTTCCCTATGGTTTCTATGTTTCGTTCCCTAGGAAATTTGAACGTCTCTAGACTAAAAACTACAAAACAACACCAAATTGATCCAAAATAGATTGCTCAATTACCACACAGTACACATCCTTGAGGTTAGCAGACCCCCTTTGTACCTTTCCCCTAGACTAAAATGTGACTAGGGCCTTATTTAGTTCCTTCCCTAAAGTCTACTTCATATCTCATCGAATGTTTGGACACATACATAGAGTATTAAATATAGACTAAAAAAATAACTAATTATACAGTTTGCGACTAATTTGCGAGACGAATCTTTTAAACCTAATTAGTCCATGATTTAACAATATGATGTTACAGTAACACATGTGCTAATGACAGATTAACTAGGTTTAATAAATTCATCTCGCGGATTACTGACGGATTCTGTAATTTTTTTTATTAGTATCCGAACACCCCATACGACACTCCATGTGACACTCTAAAACTTTATACCCTATATTTAAACAAGACCTAAAAGATAGATCAAATGGAAATACTAAATGTCAACACAAGAGAGAGAAGTGGAGAGCGAGACAAGTGAAAACACAACATCAAACACACGAGATACATGGATTTAACCCAAGATTTGACCACACGACCAAGGCGAGCACTTGCCATGAGTATGCATCTGACCCATAACCACTGCAAGGCTCTCATCATCACCCACGGAATTAATAGCGAGTAGCGGCAGCTACAGCCTCATCATACTCTTTAAAGGGATCTCTGAAGACTAGAGGAGCTGGAGGAGGATCAGAGGGGAGCTTGACGAAGATTTTGCTAAGGACAAACTTGAGCTCACTACCACACTCCCTTGAGCCACTAGGCTAGAGGAGCGAGGGGAAAAAATTCCATGGGGACCGTCCACACTCGGCACCGTGCGGACGTCCACACAATTATAACTTGTGGACCTTTTGATCTGACCGTCTATCTTGTCTTTCCAGTGTTGGTTCCAAACTTTCTTCCCACATGTCGTGATTTGGTTAAACGTCCGCACGGTGCCAGTGCAGACGATCGTTTTTTTTTTTTTGAACGAGTGGCCTGAGGAGAGGAAGGATAGCTTGTAGGCTCTCGTTGAGGGACGAGCACTGGTAGGCTGAGGAGCTGCGGCTGAGAAACAGCCAGTATGAGAAGTACAAAGAGCGGCTTAAACCCCAGTCACTCACTCAATCATATGCATCACATATAGGCTGTGTTTAGTTGGGTGAAATTTGAGAATTTAACTACTGTAGCACTTTCGTTTTTATTTGGCAATTAGTATTCAATCATAGACTAATTAGACTCAAAACATTCGTCTCGCAATTTCCAACCAAACTGTGTAATTAGTTTTTTTTCGTCTACATTTAATGCTCCATGCATGTATCGCAAGATTCGATGTGATGGCTACTGTATCACTTTTTGGAAAAACTTTTTGGAACTAAACAATGCCATATATGGAGCATGCATATGGGAAGTGCTTCCTAGCATCACCTTTGGCAAAAGGCATCTCGGTCCAAATGAAGCTGGGCTCACCACTTTCTGCCATTCTGTTAAGCACATTCCGAGAAATGCTAAGCAAAGAAGTTGCGTCACCTTTCTTTACATAGATTATGGCCCTGAAAATGTTAACATTGTAAAAAGGAGGGACAAGTCCATTGGTATACTATCGGTCACTCCATCCACATACATTATACATATATAGCTAATTTGCACGAGTGTTAATTTGACTGGCAAAATATCCGGTGCAAAACCACGTACTGCCCTAGGTTATTATTAAAATATCAATTAAAAAGGTTCAAATTAAAAAAAAACCAACCAGTCTACATCAATTAGAACCAGTTTAGCTACTCCACCTTCTTACAACAAAAGGAGAGGCGCAGAAGTATAAACATCAGGGAGATTCCATCCTAGCTACCCGAATCTCAAACACAAGGGGATGCCGAACCATTCCAGCTCACAGCACTATACATGGGGAAAGGAAAAGCTGTTCCAATTAGTTTCTTGCTTCAGATATCAAAGTCATCATCGTACATGCCTCCATCTGAGACTGTGTCATCGAAACCATCCATATCATCAAAATCAGCATCATCATCTTCAGTGACCACATCCAGCAGATCATCATACATATCCAACTCAAAATCAGAGCCAGAGTTAGCTATGCTGCTGACGATGTAAGCCCGATACCTGAAGTCAGAGATGGAGTCATGAGGAAGCTTCAGATATCGTATCCTAGCACATTTCAATTTCAGTGCATCGTCCATTTGTATGTTGTAGCACTGACGAATGTCAAGGGATTCAAGGCGAGGGCAACGGTCAAGGATTGCCATGAGTCCGTCATTGGACAGCAGGTTACCAATCAACTGAAGTTCTTGGAGCCCAGGCATGGTGCTAGCGATCCCTAATGCTTCCGTGTCATCATCCATGCCCTGAAGCATAGACCAGCGCTCATTTTGAAGAATAGACCAGTGCTCATTCAACCTGAAGCATCTAAGTTGTGGGCAGGCTCTCCCAGCACTCTCACACACGCTGCCATTCAATGAGCAGAATGTAACATCTAGCTCCTCGAGCTGAGGGAAACCATTAATTGCCTCTGCAAAACCTTGATTAGTGACATGATGGCACAAGCAGAGATGGAGGCTCTTCAATGAGGGGGCCCTGCATGCAGAATGTGACCATCTGGATGAGTTTGTTTTTAGTGAATATAAGTAATAAGGTGTCAGACCCAAGCTGATTTCTAATATCATAACAGGCAGAATAAAAACTTGTGCTACAGAAATTGCTGAAAAGGGTCATAAAAATACCTTAGTAAATCAAGGCTAGTTCTTAAATCAATCAGTAATAATATATCAAAAATTATCTAAACCTGATTAGGAGGCAAAATTTAACATACAATCCGCAAAAAAAAATTATAGCTCAATACTGCCTGAGTTGACACTATACAAACAATCTACGTATCACATCTTGCTAAAAGATTGAAACAACGCAAGGATAATGAATCACAGTAAAACACCTCTGACAGTGATAAGCATTATCTCAGCATAAATGAGAATTCAAACTTGCTGAACTTGGTAACTGTTGTAAATCAAATTTGGTACCACGTCCAAAAAAAATAGTTGATGCGGCAGCACAAACAAAGGATAGATGAGCTAGTTCAATTTGTGGAACTTGAAGGAAACAGTTGCATACAGCAAACACTAAACAAACAAAAAAAGGCGTACCGGTCAGAGAGAGCTCCCGCTACGTAAGGGGGTCCAAGGAAGAAGGTGTCGGTGGCAAGCCTTACCTCGCCTGCAGCTAATCTGAGGAGACCATGACTCGAACCGGGACCTTCAGTCACAAAGCGGTAAGACTCTACCGCTTGCACCAGGCCCGCCCTTCACACTAAACAAAGAACAAAAATAAAATATCAATTCTGACTAAGAAGTCATTTACAAGCATTGGATAATTATACCAACGCTACATGACAAGAGTAATTTCAAGTAGCGTAAAGAAAATAACCACAGATGATAGTAAAATTTGGCACCAGACAATTCAATTACATGATGATCTTTTCCTTTGATAGCTATATAAACTGATCTAGTTCTAGTAAAATGGTTGTAGACTAACATCAAGCTGCATGGCATAATCAAATTTGTCAAGTCAACATTCAACACTAACATCAAGCTATTATTACGAATATGCAGCAGGAGGAGCAGGAACTGAGTTTACTCGGTCGAAGGCATGGATGTATACCCATACCACCAAGTTCAAGTCCTTGTCGGTGCCTATTTCTTCATAAATAAAAAGGCACCTAGTTCCTCCTAGGTTAGTTCAGTTTCTTAGATTGCTTCGAGTTTTTGGTGATTGGATTGATAATGCTCAGAACTAGGTGGTTGTTGGGACTCGGTTATATAAACCTAGATGTAATCATGAACTTAAGCAAAGAGTTATCTTTCTTCCCATCTCTACCCCATCTTTTACTTTCCCCAACATAGAGCATTGAGGTGAATAGCCCCACCCCAGTATCATCCATGACTACCATTTGCGTAGTCAGGGTACTCCTCTTGCTGCCCACTACACAAATGTTGCTTCTCAAGACTGCATGAAACGGGGTTACTGAAAAAATAAAGGTCAGCGAAGTCAGCGACAACAAGATAGTTTGCCATTCGCCAAAGGTGACAAAGACATAATAATAAACTGCAGAAAAGTTCACCAGCTAGCAATGTTTGGATTCATTCTAGCAACGATGGCTAATGCTTCAACTACAAGAGAAAGGTCTTTGATAGAAACCATGGACCCTACTAGTTTATTGACGAACTGTTAATTCTTCCTTTGAGACAAAATTTTTGAAAGACATAAGTTTCCATGTCGAAGATATTCAATTTCTATATCCTACTATCAAACAGCCCATGAATATTGAATTGTCTAATCCCAGAAATCCTGCTCTTGACCTTGGCAATACGCCCAAAGGATCTGCTTGCAACTGCCTCACATTCCTTTGGAGCAACGAGCCGAGCCTAACATCTAGAGTTCTAGACAAAATTTAGCTAGGTCAATGTGGAAAAAGTTCAAGGACTAGAGACAAATGCTACACAAAAGCCACATGTAAGATGCATGCTTTTAATAATTGCATTTTCCCATCCCATTTTATTTGGCCACTAAGTTTTCAAATTGTCTTGTCCTCGAAAAAGATCATAAGGATAAGACATCATTATCAGACCTGTACTTTCTTTTCTACAAGTGAAAAAGGTGGTAAATTCAGATCTCTTGTATCGACCTTAGAGTGATTAACCTACTCACAGCATGTCATTTTATTTTATCCTAAGTAACCGAATCCTGTACACAAATAGGCAGACAAGGAAGACCTACACTGTGCTCTAAGTTTACCTTGAGGTGGAATCGTACGTTTAGCTAAGAATGCTCTAAAGAAATGCAGAAAGATTAAACATTTCCTCAACATTCTGCTGAAAATATAGCTTGAGGTGGAACCGTACGTTTAGCTAAGAATGCTCTAAAAATGCAGAAAGATTAAACATTTCCCCAAAATTGGTTGCCGTAATCAAGCACAGTGAGTACGAACCACGAATTAGCTAGAGCCTGCGTCTCCATCCACCATTTAATTAACAAAAAGAAATGCAAACGGAGTGGGTAAAGCTTCCCCGACCTCTGAGAGATGTAGCGTAGGAGCTCGTCGTTGACGAAGGTCTCGGCCCCGAACGCCTCCATGGTGCCCGCGGAGCGGTCGACGGCGGCGCGCGCCATGGCCTCGACCTCCTCAGTCTGCAGCTGGTCCCCCTGGTAGGTCATGTCGACGCGGCGCCACAGCGTGGGGTCCGAGGCCGCGAGGCGGCGCCACGCGCGGCAGACCAGCCCGGCCCCGAGCAGGATCTCGGCCACGTCCAGCTTCGCGAACACGGCCGCCAGCGCGTCCGACGGCATCTCCGCCCAGTCGCGCGCCTCGTCCTCCGCGGCCGTGGGCGAAGCCGCCGCCACCGCCGGCGGCAGCGAGGACATTGGGTAGGGTTAGGGTTCGCCGGCGCCCGGCTGGGTGTGGGAGTGGGGAGGGGGATAGCGCCGGGAGTTGGTGACGAGTGGAGATGGTAGTGGTTGTCTTCTCTTTAGCACTGTGTTGGGCCACGTCTAGGCTTGCAAGTAGCGCGGGCCACGCTGCCAGCCCATTGGGCAGGCCCGCTCCGTCAGCCTGCATCATCCTACAGGCCAGCCCATATTCCCGAAGCAGGGTAGAATGGAAACCCAGCAGGCCAGCACGTTTATTTGGGCGTAATCCTGCAGGCCAGCCCATAATCTCTTTAATAATTGGAATTCGTTTGAGGCCAGTGTTGTCTGTAGGAAACAAGGAATGCCTTGTTATTGTTGTCCTCCCCCCCCCAAAACCCCCAAGAAAGCATGAGGGAATTCGCCCTGCGATTGAAAGTTTGCTACCCTTACAGTTCTCATCGCAAATTCGCAATGGCAGTGATGCAATCTCTAGCTACATAGCAATGAGTAGATTTTGGTGCTGCTCCTTTGGCTCGTCCAGTTTGTTTATACATGTAGGTTTCTCTGTTCTATACCTGTCTTGGCGGGCCCAGTGGGTAGTCCAGTAGGACCAGGACTACCCTAGAATTGGGCCCAAATTTCTTTTAGTACTCTGAGCAGTTGAAAGTTTGGCCCATTACTCGTCTCTCCCCATGAACCCGTCTGCGCACTCTCCGACTCTCTGTCTGCGACTGTGCGCGAGCGAGGCAGCGAGCGGCCCTTCGCGAGTCCCGACGGTTGGCCGTGGCCGCCCCACCCCACTGGCCTCCCCTCCCCTAGCCCTGCGGCTCCACCTGGCCGGCAACCGGCAGCCCCACCCCGCCGGCCTGCGCCCGCCACTCCGCTCCGCCTCCGCCAGCTGTCTGTCCGCCAGGCGCCAGATCCCACATCCTAGTCCGCGTCCGGCGTGTGGGCCATAGCGCGCCAACGCCGGCCAGCACAGTAGGCAGCTCCGCAGCTGGCTACGCTGGCCGGCGCAGCGGCCGGCCGCCCGTCCCCTGGACCTGGAGGCCTGGACCCTGGTGGCCTCTGTCTGCCCTAGGCGCACACGCACTGCCTCCGCCTGTCTGCCTGAGTGCCTGGTGAGTTTCTGTTTCTCCTCAGCTTTCTCCCAAATGGCCAAATCCCATTCTTTTATGTAGTTATAACTTATAAGCCTTGGGGTTTGAAAATTGGAGATTGGAAATTGGACTGTAAAGGCTTAGAAATTGTGGATCTATTGTCTGTGAGTCTAGAATTTCTTGTCATTTTTCAGAAGGCTTAGGGATTGTAGATCTATCATCTGTGAGCCTAGAATTGAATGGAAATTGTTGTATTTTTTCAGGAAGTTGAGGCATGAAGAAATCAAATATAGCATTTCTTTTTCAGAAGCATGAGGCAAAAAAAGTTGCAACTTGTGCTCCACCAATTCCAGTTGTTGATGAAGAGCAATCTATTCCTGTTGTAGAAGATCCTCTAATTATGAGTGATGAAAGTGCTATCGTAGTTGTGGATGAAGGGACAGAAACACCTAGAGTAACAGACACAGACACAGATCCTACTGGAGATAATGGGTCAGATGAAGTTGAAGAAGAAGAGGAAGAAGAACCGCCTCCGGCTGCTGATGTTGA